TGAGCTGCTGTTTTAAGGGTCTCGTGGACAGAGAGTCTCTGTCGGCCCTCTTTGTAAAAAGTGGCAGTTAGTTCTTCAGTCTGTTGTGTTTGGCCGGCAGCACCCGTTGCGTCTCAGAATCAACCCCTCCCTGAGAGTCGTTACCTACTGAGGGCCCCCAGTGTTCCACGTGGAATGTATGAATCCACCCAGTTACGCAAGAGGTCCTGCCATCATGCTGCTCAGAGTTCAGCTCCTCAAAACCAACGGCTGCCTTTGTTTCAGTTGGACCGACTCAGGAAGTTGCTTCCTGCTGTCAAGTCTTGGCTTCCCCTTTCTGTCTGTTTGAAACGTCTTCAGGACTTCCTCCACGAAGAAGAACAAACGGAAAAATATCCTGCATCACCATCGATAGTCCAGCATGTGCTCAACAAGGCACCGTGGTTCTGGGTTCTCATCCCAGAGAGGATAACCAGGTGGAAAACACACACACAGTGTAAAAAAAACAATGTGGACGTGAAAACAGATTAGATTTGTTGTGCAGACATTTAGAGCGGAGCTGATCTGAAGTCAGGGAGCTGCAGGTTTTCTGCAGATGAGCTCTGATCAGAATAATGGTCAACAAACCAGAAACAATCCAATCTCCTCCACTAACATGGAGGAGGATGGAGTTATGACCACCACGGACCATCCCAGATTATTTGGCTTTACTTTCAAAGATAAATCCAAAACTTTGATTTACAACCAAATACCAGTTTATTTCCAAAAATCCTGATAAGAATTTTTCCAATAAGGTGATTTTACAGTAAAACAAACAGAAAAAAAGCATCAAACCATCTGTGTCTCGTTGTAAACTCTCAGCAGCCATGTTTCTGCCTCTCTCAGGTCAATGTGATTTAGCCTCGTCTCTCTCCCAGATGGGGAGCGGGGGAGTGTGGGTGGACGGAGCCGAGACTCGAGACGGGCCATGTGCCGACCACGACTCTCAGCCAATAATGAACTCTCTCTTCCAGGCATCGGTCCCGACTCGCAGCCGCTCTTTAATGAAAACAAGGCTCTGTGAAATGTAAGGGTTAAACGATGAGGAGCTCCTGAGACGAGCAGAGGTCTGTTTCCCGCAGGAGGCCGAGATTTATTAATAGCGACCTCCTGCACATATCTGATTCTCCATGGATTTACTGTCTCGTGAGGAGGATGAGGCTCCGGCTCTGAACACAAAACTCTGTGTTTGTCTTGGACTTGTTTCCCTTTTTCTTCAGGGTGGTTTGATCCCCGGTTAAACAAGGAGAGCAATGTATCTTCAACACTCTGAAGTTATCATTTCTGTTCCGTGTGTTCACCTCAGCGCCGGTTTAACCAGTTTAAAAGAAAACCCGTAACCTTTAACCTCTTCCAGAAAAAAAATTTGTTTTATTTGTCTCAGCTGTCAATCATGACGTCCAAGCCCATTTTTATATCATCACATAACTAATTAAAACCAAACTTATCAGAAACACAAAAGCAGTAATTACAAATAAAACCAAAAGAACAATAGAAATAAGAAAACGACATAAAAGCAAATAAAAAGAATAATGAACAAACATTGTTAGATGTGAACCGTCATCAGATGATTTGTCATTTTACAGTTTTCAGCCTTTGTCTTGTGAAACTCTTGACAGAGCTCGTCCTGACTTCTGACGTCACACGTCACTCACTCTGATGGTAAACAGTGATGAGCGTTCGTGTCTGGACGTCGTTGCTCCGGTAGTTTCATGTATGTGAAAAACAGCAATTTGCAACATGCCTGCACTGGATGGTGCAACACGCCGTCTCACCTCCAGACGGCGAGGAGATGATCCCATGTCTCGCTGCTGGAGCGTCACATGGTCTCACAGTGACTCAGACTCTGTCACGAGGACCTTCACCTCAGGGATGTTTGAATCCATCCAGAGGGAACATGAGGCTGCTGCAGAGATCACTGAGATATTACTGAGATATTAATACACGTTGTGAATCCGATAAAACTGTTGAACAGTTACGTATCAAAGCGTAGAGAGCGTCCAAGAGTCCCCAATGAAACCACATTTAAATTCTCCTCATCCAGAGTTTATATCTGCACCAAATTGCACTAAATGATCAACATCCATGAATTATTCTCTGAAGAAGTCAAATCTTTCAAAACGTCCTGTCTCGCAAAAAAATACACAAAAAACTCTTAAATTCTTCCATATTTTAAAACCACGTCAAGCGAGAACCAACTATTTGTGACTCTACCAATTTAATTTTTAATTTATAAACAAAATGTTGAGTTAATATAAATGTTTTCTAAAAGTAAATGTTTCGAAAGTTAAAAACATTATCAACATTTATCTCTGGTATACATTTAATACTAATCCTCAGCTTGTTCCTGTAACAGACCTCCATCAGGACACAGAAATAACGCCTCACACATCATCACACTATCTCCTGCGCTGCCTGGAAATAACGAGTCACGACCTGTGATATATTTAGTCTGAGTGGTCTCATCATATCTGTTGTGGACTCACAGTCACTCACCGTTATCGTTGTGTTTCTACAGAACACGTCCGGCTGTCCCACACGTAGAAGGTGGACAAACATCCTGCGTCAGCAGCTCGGCACAGCTCCGTGTTTATTCAGGAGAAGATTCAGAGTTTTCAGATGCAACACGCTGAACGTTTATGTCCAAAATAAACTCAACCACAAAAAAAAAACTTTCTCCATTCAGTCAGAAAGAACTGATGTAACATGATACCCAGATGTTTATGTAAGGTTTTTATTCTTGACAAAACTTAAATCTTTCTGAAGTTGTTAATTCCAGTCGTAGTTTGAATGAGTTGGTTTAATAAGTCGCTTGTGAAAATAATACTGGATTCTTTTGAATTCGCTTCACTGGCTTTTTAAAATCTGTTGCAAACAACAGACGACATGTTTAGTGACTTGTGCAAACAGTGAAAGAGAAAACTGTTCAATACAGAAACATCTGCAGAACCGTCGGGCTCTCAGTGAACTTTGGAACATTCAGATATGATTAACTTTCTTATCAGAAATTACGACCTGGATCTGCAGCAGCCAATCGGCCGACATGCAAGAACTGAACATTATGTTGATCCGTCGTTAACTGACAACGTGTTATCAGCAGCAAGTCACCCTGTGCTGTGTCGCTTAACAGGGATAACAGACTCAAACAGACCTTAATTGAGATTTAAAGCTGATAGAAAGTGACTTGACACTCACAAGGAAAAGACAAATCACCAGAAAAGATGCACAATGATCTGGAAGAGAAACTAAATGAACATAAAGAAGTGATAAATGACCAGAAAAGATGCAAAATCATGCTCACAATGATTACAAAGATGCAAAAATGTGATTTAAAATGATTACAAAGATGCAAAACGAGGCTCAGAATGGTTGATTTGATTTGTGATTTAAAAATAATGACTTCATCTTGTCTGTGCCTTTTCTCTCATAATCCATCCACGCCTATAATAATGCTCAAACTTTAGTACCAGCAGCCGTCATATGTCTCTGAAAACAACCTCCAGGCCAATGAAATGACTTCACACTTCAGTTCTCCGCTGCCTCTCACATATCACCGCGTTGTGTCCGATTTCGTTTTCACAACAAACACCTCCACGATCCCGCTGAGAGCGGTCTAACATTTCCAGGCATTGTCGACTGGTTATTTGGTGTCAGAACCGTTTGAATAGGATCCGCAGGCAAACGGGAGTGAAGATAAAAATCCTCAGGCCTGAGCGAAAGCTTCCTGAAACCTGAAGAGCCCGAGATTAGACGTGAAATAGAGAGTATAGAGAATTTCTTTCACTGTGTGACAGGTGATGTTTCTGCATGGATCTGCGTAGGCGTGATATTATTTGGCAGACGGGAGGAAATCAGCCGGGAAGCTTTGCAGTCGCTCGAGTCGAGCTTTCACTGAGAGAACCACATAATTACGGGTCTAATGGAAATCTAAAGATATCATCAGAAGGAGCTGTGTGTTGTGTGTGAGGGTGCGGGAGCGTTATCAGGCCTGTATTTAACGTTTCTGTCCATGAGAACTTCAACAAGCTCGGTCAGGATCTTACATTTGCTGCAAAATCGTTACAACAGTCGGCATTTATCTGACAAACGTCAGGTGTGTGTGTGTGTGTGGGGGATTTATGGTTTAACAGGAGAACTTTATCTCTACGATCTTTGAACAGGTGACTCAACGTGTTCCGTTTCAAGACGTAAGAATAGAAACAGTCAGATTAAGATGAAAGTAAAGATGGAATCAGGTGGAGTTATTCCTTTATCCTTTGTTTCTCATTCGAACACCTCAGTGATCCTGTAACATTCCAGTGTGGAAACGTAAACAGCGTCTGTTTTGTGTAATAACAGCGAGTCGGTTTGTGTCTATCGGGAATGAGCTAATCTGGAGAAACAGATCCTGCAGGTGAATATATACAGAAGGTGACAGGGAAGAGTTTGGGGTCTGGAAGCTTCTGGTTTCTATTTGGACCAATAAATCTGTGTGGAGAGCAAACGAGGTGGAACACGTCGACTAGAAAACATCGGTTGACCTCATCTACGCAGGGTTTGAGTCTGGAACCTGGACCTGCTGCATGAGACACTCCACAAATCTGTTTTTGCACCTCCTGATGGAAGCAGCCTGTAAAACACGTCACTGCTCACAAACTGGAGCCTGCTGCCGATTTGACCTGAAAAGGAAAAATAAGATAGTGAATGAATTGACTGATTAAAATGTTTTTTCTACAAATGAAAATTCTAAGGTTACGTAAGAAAACGTTCCTGTTGTTAATGAATCTGTAGTTTGTTATTCATGATATGAATATAAAGCTGAATTATTGAGTCATAATAAGTATTTCTGTGTCTGATCTATATCAACGAGCTGTTCTCTGATTGGCCTGTTTGCTGGATGTGTTGTGACTCTCCTCCTCCTCCAGTTGTGTTTGGGGGAGGGTCCTGCTGGTGGGACTGGCCTCATGACGCGCTTCTGTTGACAGTAGTAAAGTCTCCACACACACACACACACAGACAAACACACACACACATACACACACACACTCACACAGACACACACACTCAGACCGAGCTGTCAGTCCTCCGCTCCACGCTGCTCCATCTGCGCGTCCTGTGCGCACCGCGGTGCCTTCTGCCCGGCGCGTCCCAGCCTTGCGCACGTCTCTCTCTTTACCCCGAGCTCGCTCCGGAGAACCGAACCGAACCGAACCGAACGGAACCGAACCTGCGGCCGATCTGTTTAAAAGCCCCGAGTCGCTGAGGGAACAGGAGAATGTCTTCCAAAGCGATCGAGCTGATGAATCTGTCGGAGGAGCAGGTCAAAGTGTTGGAGGACAGTTTTAAAGGATGTCGGTATCCGGACGGGACGACGCTCATGCTGGTGGCTGCAGAGTGCGGACTGTCAGAGGAGGACACACAAGTGAGTCACTGTTTCACTTCTCTCTCTCTGTCTCTGTCTCTCTGTCTCTCTGTGTGTGTCATTGATGAAGTGGTGAAGACATCTGGAATTAGGTTTTCCAGATGCTTGTAGCTCCTGGTTCAGAGGTTTTAGTCCTGATCGGATCATGTAGAACTTCTTGAAGTAAAGAAATCATCTGACTGCACTTTAAAGTGTCTTTAGTTTGTTTCTCATCGGAGTTATTTCTGTAATTGTCCCAGTTGAGACGTATTATTTCCCTTTATGATATTTATAGGCTGTAATAGCAGTAATTCTCTCATAGAGCCACTGAGTCTGCACTTTATTCAGGAACATTTCCAGTAGAAAGTGTTTTTATTTTGGCTATAAGATGTTTTTAGAATCAAGAACTACTAATATTAGTTCAAATAAAAGTCCAGTATTCAAAGTTTTGCTTAATTTCAACTACACTGTGTCAGTAATTGAATACAAATACACTTGAGGTTCATCAAAAACATGGCTGTCAATGGGTTGGACTGCAGATGTGTCATTTTGCAAGCTTGTATTTTCAGTATCTGGCTGATAAAAGAACTATAATATAATAATAACTATAATAAAAGTACTATACATGGTACACGTTATGTCTTTAGTATTTAAATGCAACTTGTAATACTCAACTAAACTAAACTACAGTATTTAGGTATATTTACTTTAGTTTTGTGCTGTTTTTGAGGTTTTTCTTCGATCTGAGAACTGGAAACTATGAAAACTTTACGTAAAGAGTTTACGAATCGTGATTGTTTTCAGTGTCCCAGTTAAGTGACCTCAGAGGAAATGACCAAACGCTGTGGAGGGGGGGACAAAAGCAGAGTGGACATGTGTATTTGTCTTTTTCTAAAAAACAAAGTGAGGCTCAACATGTGTGAAGTCAAACCTGGAGCCGCTCTGCTGACACTGAATGGAACCGGCTTGTGGACTGTGATGAATAAATCCTCATTTGTGTGCAAACAAACACTGATGACAAAGGTGGCGCCCCCCCGGTCGTCAGCAGAGCGGCTCCAGTTTGTTTCTTCATCACGTCAGAGACCCAGAGTCCAGGTTCCTGCTGCCTTCAGCTCCGAACACGACTCAGTTCATCCTCACAAACACTCGTTCATCTGTTCGGGCTGAGCTCACAGAGCTCACGTGTTCGTATGAGGGATAAAAACTTCTTCAGTGCATTTGTTTGGCTCCTGTACACCACGTATTTATATTTATAGCTGGAATGATTAGTTGATTTATCAGTTGACAGAAAATGAATTCATTCATTCCAATTAATCGTCATTTTTCAAGAAAGAAATTACAAATACTCACATGAAACAATTATGTATATCGTTATTTTATAATAGGACAAGTATAGTATTGGCTAACGTAAGCTAGTTTGCAGTACCTGAGTTTAAATGGGCCAAAAATCCACAAAAATTAAACCAATACACAAAAAACATAAAACCGATACAATAAAAATACATCAGCTTTGTATTTATCTCCATTTAATGGACAGCACAAGAAGTAAACAGCAGAATCATGAATAGTGAAGTCGCAGCTCGGCTTTTCGTTACTAAATGATATGAAAACAGATTTTAAAATCCTGCTCAACAGTCAAACTCTGCTGTTTCAGTGTAAAAGTTCATCCTGGACTTTGACAACAGAAGTTTAACGAAGTGATTTTGACTGCGAAGCATTTTCCCGAGAGAAATCCCATCTTACGAGATTAAAAGACAAAGTTCAGGATGCATGTAAACGACAAAAAGCACATTAAGGATCTCCATCTTCTTTAAGGGAATGTTATCGACCGGCTTGATTATATTTGTCTTTATCAATGAGCTTATGAATCAGCACATGACCGGACAGATTGCTGCAAAAACCGTCATCTAATTAAATAAAACATCACATTATTACTCAGGCATTCAGATTGTACTACCCCCCCCCCCCTGCCTCTATCTGAGGAATGTCCTCTGCCTCCACTGTAACGTCTGAATAACGCTCACATCAGGAGCCAGATGTGAAGCTTCAGTGCAGCGATAACAGCAGCTGAAGTTATGCAGGCACCTCCAGTAGCATTCCTCCTGCAGATAGAGTCGCTGTGAAAGGAACGCTCTCTAGAAACGAGTCGTACTTTTGCAGCAGAGTCAACGATGGATGTTTAATTCTGGGAAATAAAAGGTTTGAGTTGTTTGTCCTGTTGCAGGAGAGCGACGAGGCTGTTCATGTAAATTCTGTTATTTGAGTTGACATCAGGTTCATTTCACAGTCAAATTTTTAGTTTTTATGCTTCGCGAGGTGGACGGACACGTTGACAGAAGCTCTCACGTGGCCCGGGACACGTGTCCTCTTCGTAATTAGCTCTCCCAGTACAAACACTTCACCAATCAATAACCGGTGTACCTCAGACGAACGCTCGTCACTGCTCGCTCCACGTCGACTCCTCGAACAGGTTCCTCCAGATTTCTGTCAGAGCTGCGGTTACACAGGCAGAGCAACAAATCTGCATCAAGTTTCACTCTCAGGTGCAAACAGGTGTTTCTCCTCATATAGACAAGTCACGTGAAGTGTTTTATATTATAGGAGCTTGTTTTACTCTTGGTCTACAAAGCAGCAGCAGAACACATTCATCAGCTGAAAGAAAGTTATTAATATGCAACTATTCTAATAATCACACGATGGTTTTCTTCACTTTTCCAACAGAAATGTCAAACTTGATGGTTCCAGCTTCTTAAATATGGAGATTTAGCTCATTTTTCTTGTCTTTACTTTGATTTCTAGTCTTTTTTTTAATGTTAGAAAACAAACAAAATGATTTATAGATATTAACAAGATATTAGTGAACATCAGCTTGAGCTGTTGGAAAGATTTTTAACAAGTTGCTAATGCTTTGTCGACAGATTATTAATCAATTACCCAAGAAAATAATGTTAATTAATCAGAAGTGAGAATGAGGGAGTCTTCAAACCTGAATCCTTTGGTGTTTGTGTCGTGTTGTTGTGCGACTGATGAATCAGTGATGTCAGAAGTGTGTGAAGTTGAAAACTCGCCTGGTAAAGTTCTGACCCCCGAATCAAAACACCCCATTCGATGTTTTCTTAACTCGCTCAGTTTGAGTGTTGTTGGATTAGTGGACAAAGCTCTCACTGGAGAAGCTTTAGCTGAAGAAACACGCCCCGGCCTCCACTCCCTGTTTCACATTAACAGCCTTTACAATGTGCTGCGGCAGCTGCACTGCATGTTCCAGCTCCTCTCACACGTCTTATTTGCTTTCAGTGCGTTAAAGGTAGAGTGGAGGGTGAAAGACCTTGTTATGTAATCCAGTCGTAGTCAATGGGCGGGAAATGACACAAGCAGCATTGTGTGCGTCAGCGGGATTATAAATCCTGACATTATTGTTCAGAAATAGCACGTGTGTAACGGCTTTACAAGACTTCAAAGAGCTTCGGATGAAAGACCAAAAACAAAAGAAAGTGCAAAACATTTGAGTTCCGTTCAAAAAGCTGGGAGAGAAAAAACCTTTCAAAGCCGGAGCTTCGTTAGTGAAGACCTGAAAAAAACCTGATGTTCTGAAACACAGGGTTCTGCAGAGGCTACTTCTTCTTAAAGGGATGTTTTCTCTGCATTTCAAGTAACCCTGAAAACTCCAAATGGGAATCTCATATGTCCTCAGTAAGGATGTGGTGGGGATGTGTCCGTCCTGCCAGGTTCACGTCTCACGTCTCATCCAGTTTGGGCCTCGTGTCTTAAAGCTGCAGAACTCAATCCTTTCCCGTTCCCCTCAGCGTTATCGAGATGATGTCAGCATTGTTGTGGATCCCTTGACAACGCAAACCGCAGAGTAGCGAGGCGGCAGGTCACGGGTGTGTGTCGCAGTCATCATCTGGCCGGCAGTTTTCAGTGCAGCAGTCATTAGCCGAGTGGTGGGAGAACTGGATCCAGAGGAACAGTCACTGCCAGAGGTCTCTGTTGAAATTACACAGAGGCATTTGTTTTCTGTGGTTTCCCCCCGAAACAACAGCCTCCAGGTCAGCGCTGCGTCTGCATGAGTCACTGACCACATTCGGCCTTTACACACCAAGAAATGTGACTTTAATGTCGTTTCGAAGATAATGAGCGTCGTAAAGAAAAGTAGCTGGAGAGCGCTGCCCTCTCTTCTTGCTCCAGGATGTCTGATGATGGTTTTCTGGTCACTGAAAAAACTAAAAAAGTTTCTCAAGTTCAACACAAACCAGCCTGAAATATTGTAAATATTTAAATCTTATATTAAAATCTTATGTCGCGTTCCATCACATCGAGTTCAGATCTCGGAGCTGACGTCACAGCCCAAAGTTCCGGCTGCACAGGAACAATGTTTTTACGTTAACCGGCAGGTCATTGTTGATAAATCTAGTTATTTTAACGCATCACGCAGTATTTCACGTATTCTAACACCATGGTTACACGTCCACAGACAGTAGTTGGACGACAAATTTAATGACAGACGAGATAATAAACAGTCAAAACTTTAGTTTTCGCTTCTGTTCATACACGGAGGGGCCATCTAAGAAATAAAGTGAGGTCTGTCAGTACTCTAAATGTTAAAGTGTACACGATTCAAGCAGAAGTTGAAGTTTTTCACTTGTGTTTTATGAATATTATGAAAGACTAAACCAAACTCTTGAAAGACTCGGGTCAGAATATCTCGTTTGTGCTTCAGTTCAGCCCATATTTGCATCATGTTTGAGCGTAACCACATGCAAACAGGATATCGTGTTGTGATGACTCATATAATGAGCTCTGGGCCAACCGTTAAGTTTTTGTGTCAAGTTATTGTGTCAGCTTATTGTGTTGCCATGAGGCCTGAGGATGAGAAAGCAGAACAATGGTTTGTGAGAACTCTGTATTTTGTTCAAATCATTCTTGACAATAACACAACTCCACCTTCTCGGGAAGATTCGTGTCATGACTGTATTTTGTCACCGGGGCCGGTTACCTCATGTTTCTCCAGTTTCAGCCTCTGCAGCACGTTGCGTACAGATGCACGTGGAATTGTTCTTCCTGTCGCCTGATTTCTAACCTTTCTCCGTGTCTTTGTTTCCTCCAGATATGGTTCAAGCAGCGTAACGCACAGTGGCGGGAGGCAGAGGGTCTCCCCGCCAAACACGGCTCGGTGCTGGACTGAGACTGTCCGACCTCCTCCTGGACGCCCGGAGCCCTGAGCCGACCCCGTTAACCTCGGACAAGAAGACCCCCCCCCCTCTTCCTCGTGCCCATCTCTCGTTTTTGTATCTATGAAGCTATTTTAACTTACAGAATGTGAAGGTGTTTGTGTGTTGTTGCCAATTATAACCGCCATGTTTACAGAAATAAACATTAATGTTATTATAAGTTAAACTGAGTCAAGTGAGGATTCTGTGCGTCTGAGGTCTGAATTCACTGAGGAAGCCGAGTTACACACAAAGGCTGGATGAGGTTTTAGTGAGGGTGGTGGTGGTGGTGGTGGGGGGGGGGGGTTGTGCTTTTGTTTTTAGGCCTTTGTTTACACGCATGTCCGTCAGCAGCGAGCCGGAGGCCGAGCGCTTCACAGGCTCATAAAGGAAGTAAGGAAGCGCTGCCGTTACAATAGATGCAGCTGGAATCTGCTGCGGCGATCCAGAAACTTCCAGAGACGAATCTGGAAGGTTTTCAGGAGTGAAGGGGGGGTGGAGGTGGGGGGTGGGGGGGGACTACAGTGAATAACATCATGGGCTCAACAAGTGGCCGGTGATGTCATGACATTGTCCCTTTGTCCCTGTGACCGAGCTCTGCAGAAGGGTTGTGTTCATCTTTTAAATAGAAATCAGTTCACAGGCGACTGAGGAGCAGAGAGGGTCCAATGATTAAAACGATAATTCTTTCATTAAAAAGCAATAAGTTCTTCATATCTTTACATTTCTCGAGCAGAACCCGATCACTTTATTGGAAAACCGATAATAACAGGCTGATAAGAGACTTTCCAGAGCTGATATATCTTTATTTATATTCATCGTGGTTGTTTTAATTATAGAGATCTGTTTATTTAATTGTTCTGTTTTCTCTGCTCATGTTCTGTCGTTTTTTATTCTCATGGATCATCGGGAATATTGTTAAGAAAAGTGCAATACAAGTAAATGATTATTACATATACGGAGGTGACATCACTACCTAAATAAAAAGGTTGTATTCTTTTCAAAATGAGTAAAAACAAAGAAAAACGAACAAGTAATTTAAGATAAACGAGAGTGGAATCAGATAAATTAGACTGGAATTCAATGGAATCTGAAATAGAGAGGCAAACAGGCCGAGTTCCAGAAAGAGTTCCAGCAGGAAACCAGAGTCCAGACACTGGAGCTGAAGCCAAGAGGAGAAAAAGATGCTTGTGCTCCAAAGACTGGAGAATATTTCATCTGCAGGTCCAGAGAGTGAAGAGTCGACGTGAGGCTCAGACGCAGAGAGAGCTGCCTCCTCACCTCTGCAGAATCTCTGGAAGTCGTTGCATTTATCGAATCAGCAGTCGAGTAAAGTCTGATATTTCTGTTTGACGTTTAACTTTACATACATTTATAACCATTCCACACGAGTTCTTTCTGCGTCACTCATGTTGTATTTTCCACCTGAGTCTCCTCTGGATTAGTCCTGAAACCGGACAGGTGGGATCCAGTCGCTCGTTTTACACGACAGAGAAAGAAGAAATCCTGAGCTCCCTCTGTTTGTGTGAGGAGAGAGAGAGAAAGAGAGAGGATGAGGTTTCCTGCCAAAACAACCGGGAGAGAAAAACGCTGTGATCGTGGGAACGTCCTCACAACCAGCTCGACAGAAACCAACACTGATCCAACAGGTAGATCAGCTGCTCGTTAAACACGCTGCTATTTACGGGCTGCAGTGTTTACACAGGCATCAGCTWCACACACACACACACACACACACACACACACACACACACACACACACACACACACACACACACACATTTAAAATTGACATTTAAACGATTCTAAAACTCACTTTAACATTCAGCGCTCCCTCACAGGATTTAAGGTTTTGCATAGAAATAACAAAACGCACAATACTTAAACAGACTGTTATTAGTATACATGATACTTCAGCCGGTTGTTAATTAAAGGTTCAGTGTGTAGAATTTAGTGACATCTAGTGGTGAAGTTGCATGTTGCAGGATCACTAGTTTGTCACGTCCGGGCTACTGTAAAAAAAACATGGTGGCCTCCGTAGAGATCATGTGACTAATGAAGAATCCCTCAGCTCATTGTCTTGAGTTTCAGATCATCTTGATTTGAAATTTACTTTTTGACTTTACTCAGATTTAACTTGTTCCTCGCATCTGTTTCCACAAAAAAACTGTAAGAATCATAGATTACTTCAGTTTTTTCCACTAGTGAATATAAGAAGATACTAAAACAAACATTTACCATCATGGTTGAGTTTGTGAAAAGAGCAGAAAGATTATTTCATCACAGCTTATAACATCTAATAAGATGTTGACTTTATAAAGGAGACCTAAACTTTCTCGATAAGTGATATTACAGGTCATTAAAAGTGTTACAGTGAAGGGTCAGAGGTCACAGAGGCCTCCTCTCCCCTCGTCTGTCCTGGAGTCTCTCCAGTGAAAGGACGACCTGAGCGTGTGATGCTTCGCCATAAGAGCCGCTGAGCGTGTGTGCAGAATTTGAATTGGAGGCTGTTTTTGTGTGTTGCTAAGAAAACTCTGCAGAGCTGTGAGGAATCTGTCGTCCAGGAGCTGCCAGACTCGGCCTGCGTCACTTTGTGCTGCTTGACTTTCTGCTGTGACACTGATCCTAACCCCGATCATCTCGTCTCCGTTTAACAAAACTTTATTTTTATTTTTTTAACTTTGCTTACTTCCACTTTTAGTTTGTGCACCTGGAACTGTGTGTGTTTGTTATTGATTCCTGCAACTTCTTCAACTCTGTTCCTAAAACTTTCTGCAGCTGTTTTTGCACATTAGAGCTGAAAACGTTAGTTGATCAACTATGAAAATAATTAAGCAGCAATTTTATGCCAAGATGCCAAAAACTTCACTCCTATCTTCCAAAATCTTTCTATGTTTAATTTCTCAGTATGTTACTTTATAAGTTGAATATAAAACAAATAGAAAACACAACTCAGTGTTTCCAGTGGACGTTAAAAAGTGTTTCTCCGGTTGCATCTATTTGTTTTTCTTAAAGTGAAGTGCAGGACGTCTCAGGGCCTCTGTGCACGAGGCAACAAACCAAACACTCTTGAATCCTGAAGCTGTTAAAATGTGCAGCGTTTACATGAGCTAATAAAAACTATAATTACTAAAGAATGTTGAGATTATACAACTGGAAATAAACTGCCTGATGTTGTCATAACATCCAGAACCTCTGTACAAATCCAAAACTGTTCTGGGAAGAAAAAATCATCAATCAATCAATAAATCAAATATACTTTACATTCATTCACCAACTGATTTAGACCGAATCGTGTCTCACATCAGTTTTCTACCTTTGATTAGTTTTCACAAACTCTCCTGTTGGAAATAATTGTGCCGATGAAACTTATGAAAACGTCTTTAACAAGCTGTGCTGCTGAAACACTGGAGACTCAAAACGTTTCACTCCTCTGTTTCTCCTGTTTCGAAACATTTACACACAGAAATAAACCGAAGCAACGGCTTATTAAAGTTGTGGTTTTAACTCATGCTGCATAAATGATGTTTAAATAAATAGAGTCCTGCAGAGCGAAGTCCTGCAGAGTTATTTATTTACAACTGACTCGAGTCCAAAACCGCTGCAGCATCGTTTCTCCCCACTCAGGGAAGATTTACCAACGAGCTCCTGTAACTCCGCCCTGACACGGTTTGTTTGCAGACTTGCACCATCATGCAAATGAAAAATAAAACCAGGGCTCATTTAAATCCCTGGTATCATGCAAACAGACGTGGTCACTGCTAATCTTTCATATACATGGGTGGGGACGTAATTAAACAACGTCTGGATGCAATTATGTTTAAAATGAATGACTCCATTATTTATTTATTTATTTTTCAATTAATCACAAGTTGCTAGAGGCCATGACATTTTTAAATCAACTGTTTTGTTCAGCCAACAGTACAAACGTAGAGAAGCAGCAGATATTAACATTTGATGAACTTGAACAAGGGAATATAAATAACCTGAATCATTATCAAAATGCTGATGATCGATGATGCTGTTACACAGAAGAATGTGTCTGTGTTAAACTGGATGATTGAAAATATAAATATGTTTTGTAAATGTCTTCGGGAAAAGGAAACGCATCAACATTTTTTCAAAAGTTTATATTGAGCTCAATCTGACTAAACTTAAAAACTTCATATTCCCACCTCCTCCTCCTCCTCCTCCTCCTCCTCTCTACCTCCCAGGTCACGACCAAAGCAGGTTAAACCCCGATCATCCTCCCAGCAGGACATGGGTTCAGTCTCCTCTGATGTCTGTCTGCTCCTCGGCCTCCAGCCGCACCACAAACCTGCGCTGATCTACAGCCCACGCCGGCTGCCACCGCCCGCAGGGCTCCAACCGTAATTACTGCACCGCGCCTCCACCTCTGCACACATCAGCCGTGACCACGCTTTATGGAAAAACTGTGGATTTCCAAACTGAGGCCCCACAACCCTTTGTAAACTGAACTGTGGCCAGATTGTGGTATTTTCAAGGAGTCACGACCTCTGAGAGGAAAGAGGGGAGCTTCTGATCGGGTTTTGTAAACGTCCTCTTCTACGTGCGCGTGCACATCTGGCCTGATGTGGCGCTCTAGCTGCTCTCCGTGCACACACATCTGTCCCAAATCAAAAGCAGGTGTTGAAATTCACAAACAAGTTCCCATTATGGGCTAAAATACACACTGGATAAAAGATCAGTGCAGTGACAAGCATCCATACACACATGGTTGTGATATAAACATGAAATCCAGCTCAACTGCAGAGGAAAAACCTCGTGCATCACACTGAGGCTCGATTCTTTTTATTCCTGACATTATTCACCGATTCTGCCAAACATCAGAGATTTAAAGCAGCGATCCTTCATAAATCACGATGTCCCAATCCCGAAATAACTCGTTTAATGTCTCCAGCACACGGTGATGACATCAACAGACGAGCGGAGACACAGACGCAACAGTTGGGATCAGATCCTTCAAACTGAGCTGGAAATTTAAACCGATTTTCAAATCCTTCGAGAATTTATATGGTTTTTTTTTTATAACTTCCTTTTTTACTTTGAGTCTGTTGTCTTTGCTCATCTTCGGGGTTTGTCAGTGGGTGTAGGGCCTCTCTTGTTTGTGATTTAAAGGGGAATTCTGCTATTTTGTTGGCTGTGGCTATAATTTAATCATAAGGGGAAACTGCAACAGTCCACAAAATGTCACTTAAAGTGTTTGTTCACCAACAAAAGGCTGAAATTGTTATTCTGGGATTCAGCTTAGAGTCTGGAGAAATTGCACATTTATAAACATATGGCTTAGGTTGAAGTGTTGTATCGTATGAGTGGACGAAGATGTACGAAACTATTAAAGCTCAAATGAAGAACATTGATTCTGCAGATCTGTAGAAGTTGAAATCCAAACTAACTTTTACTTTCTATTCATTCCATCAAATATTCCACATATGTTTCACAAAGAGCAAACAGGAGACCAGCACTGACTTGGTTGTGATGCTGACGGAGGTTCAGGGAGACAGGACGTAGTTCCGGCTCCACTCCGCCTCTCGTGGAAGGACGTAGTCTTTGGGGAGCTGCTTCGGCGTCGCCAGCATCTTAACTCGAGAACTTGCCGTCGCTCTTCTCGCTGCTCTCGAAACCTGAGAAATCACATCAGAGGTTTCACCGTGTCCTGCAAGATGTGTTGACGGTAACTTCAGCAAAGTTTGAAGGAAGTTTGAGGAGAAAAGTCAGAAAGTAATTAACTGAAACTCTTGTTTTAAAATCTGTTCATTAAACTGAGTAAGAACCAGACTGTGGATTGTTGATGTGGATCAGGAAACCTCAGGACAGCAGAGGAAGCATCAAACTCATTTGGTTGAAAGTTCCACAGTTAATTCACTTTGTCTATTATTCATGAGAGAACATCTGGAAAATATCTTCCTCTGTTTCATGATGTTGAACAAAGAGGACAATTTCAACTGTGTTTGTGTTTGTGACACCTCCAGAGTGACTGTTAATGAATTATTAACCTTCTAATGATGTTTACGATCCATTAGTTGAGGACAAAATGAAAACACAGCAAACAGAGACACAGGATCGATGCTTCTGAAGAGACTGATCTCACCGTCCACACTGATTCCTCCGGACGCCCGAGCTCGCAGCAGACGTTGCTCTTTCTCAGTCTGGGCAGTGACAGCTGGACGAGTCTCTGAGAGACGCGAGCTCCTCTGGACGCCAAGGACACGATGGACGAGACGCTCTGCGGAGCAAACAGAGGGAATAACACTCAAAATCCAAAACCCAATGTAACATGATACTGAATCATAATATCAGTAATTAAGAGATAATTACAAGTGCTTTACAAAGCCATAGACATTCATATAAATTAGAAGAATTAAAATAACCTTTAAGACACAATAAAACTATTGAAATTGCATCACAGGTGCACAGAGTCAATACAAATATTAAAAATAAGATAACATTCAAAAAGAGTCATTTAAAGACAAAAATATCAGGCAAAGACAAGAAATACTTAAAGATTCAAAGAGGTGACACTGTGCACATATTGGCACCCTGCAACAAATTATAGTGTTTTAAAAAAAATATCAAATAAATAAAATAATCAAGAGCCTATTCTGAAACTTAAATACCAAACAATAAAAGTGTTTTGTTGCATTAATATATATACCTTACAGTTCTTATTTCAGAGTAAAAGTTCTCACCTCTCCGTTGCTCTGGAAGTCCGGGTGGGTCTGTTTGGGGATGGAGAGCCGCAGCAGTCGAGGTGTGATCGCTGCAGCTTTCACTCTGGGATCAACGTGCCAGACCGGACAGTTGTTCTCACACTGAGGAGTGTGAGGAGGCCTGAGGGACAGACGACCAGAGAGAGACAAGTCACAGACATTCGTCCACATGCAGGAGATACGGCTGAATTATAAAATGTAAAATAACCAGAAGAGCTACGAGTTTCCTCTGATCCTCAATTTACTTAAAATAGTTTGTTATTGTTTGAATTGTTCTGTTTGCATCTAATTTTTCATTTTGGACTTGTGAAGCACCTTGTCACTGTGTTTTGAAATGTGTAATATAAATATCATTAATTATTATTATGACTACCCCTCTCTGCTTCACTGTTGGTCAAGTTATTTCTTTCTGATTTCTCTCTTTTATTTCACTTTTTCTCTTGTGTTGTTTTTCTTTTAAGTTTTCAGCTTCTCGTGACTATCATTGGTTTTTTTTGTGCAGGATGTTAAAGCATCAGCATCATATTGAAACTACAGCAGCAGAATATAAACTGTGGATGAGTCTCAGTCTGCACATGCTCGACAGCATGATGTTCTGCGGCTGCTGCAGCGTGTTCACATTTTATAAAAAGACTTCCGCGGCTGTCTGTAGCGTCCCAGGGGTCCTGAACCCTGGACAATGAGCTCTATTGTCTCCGCTCCTCGCTCTCCCACAGTCTGACACTGAAATAACACACAGCCAAAACGCTGGCTTCCTCACACCGAGGGGAGACGTTAGTGTTGGACATCAGCCTCTTCTCATATTTTACTTTATGATACGTTGTATTCTGTGGTTCCTTTTTTGGACCCCAGCGGCTGAAAGCTGGAGATATTGAGGTTTGGTGGAGAGTTGGATGTGGAAATTATCTTTAAAACAGATACGGGACATGAAGCTGCAGCACAAACTGTTCACTTTCCTTATAGAGAAACTTCCAGGGTCAATGTGTGTGGTCTGAATACAAAGATGTTCTCAACAAATGTATGACTTGACCAGTTATTCAAACTGGAGTTAAGGCTAAAGGTCATTCTTCCTTCTGCCCTTCCGTTCTTCCACCCTTGCTTCCTCTCTCACTGCCTTCCTTGCTTCGTTTCCTTTTTTAGTTATGAGCAATAACAATAAAAAAAACATAACTATTTAAAACACAAGTTAAGACAGATGAAAGTTTGTATTTAAAACAAATAAGATCAGAATACATCAATTATGAAAACATAATAGAAAGTGTAGT